GCCAATATTTCATTTTGTTTTATAGAATCATTGAATTTTTTTAAATTTTTTTACCAAGAAAAAACTCAATTTATTTATATTTATTTTAAAAAATTCAGTGTAAATTGAATTTCTACTCTTCGTTTACGCTTTTATAATTTCTTTTCCATTGGTGGACCATGGAGCTCAAGCATTTGAATTATGAAGGTTTGCAAATTAATAAGTATGCAAATTTTACCGACTCTTATTAAAATTTTTATCGCGAATATGATCAAAAGTTCTTTTAAACGTTTGCGTTGATTTGTGCGTTGTTGTTAAGATTTATTTCTTGAGATTTCCATTTCCGTGAACTCATGAATGTGAATCTCTAGGACATTTAGAGAAATAATTTCAAGCGCGCAAAAGTACTTATAATGATGTTTTGATAGTTGAAGATGAATTTAAAGCAATTCGTCAGTCACTTATGCAGATAACATTCGCAAAACTTTCGTTTTCTACGGGTTATATGAATTGAAGTACAGAGACAGCATATAAATATTGTCCAATCTGCAAGCTGCATCTTAAACATGATTTTGCATCGACGAAAATATCGAAAGTAATTATAAGTATAATAATTTCCAACTCAACAAGCCGAACAATCGCAGCGTTATAATATTACAAGTATAAAAACGGATACTCGTCGGCGTAATTTGTTAAATTCAGGTTGAAGCGGATGTAAAGGGAAATTTTTATCGCTAGCGCGTGATGCACGCGCAGAGTTGCACGAAAACGAACGTTATGCCGGCCAGTGAGAGAGGGATGTTTCAATTTCTGAGCCAGGTCGCTCGCTCGAGCATCGTCCACGTATAATTTGTTTCTAGTAAAAAAGAATCTGGCTCTGGTTGGCGGCGCAGCAAGGGCACGACTACGTATACATCGACACAGGTAGCTGGGTGCGCTCGCAAGCTCGGATGAATAATAAAAAAGGCAAGTCAAGCGGGCGCGTACACGTATCCGAGGCCACGGGCACACGGAGTGGAAAAGGGCAAAAAATGTCGAAATTACTCAGAGAAAGAAATTTATACGCAGCCACTCGGTGCGCGTTGCACTCGTGGCACAGCGAGCGCCGTGTTCTCGCTACACGCATGTGTGCCGTACGAGAAGAGGGGCTGGGGGGATGGATGCAGCAGGCCGTGCAGAAGTGAGAAAGGCTGGAAATAGCTGACGCTCAACAATAATCTTGTTATGAGCCACTACTGTTGGGAGCAGGCGCGCTAGTCACCGCTGCCGCTGCTTTCCGAGTTCAGTGCGGCAATATATAGCATCTAGCTCGCGCTCTGGTCATCCGTCTCCAAATTAGCTTATGGTATACTTTGACTACGCATCCGTGCAACTTGCTGCTCGTCGCGCGACTGCCGTACCGTGTACGTATAGTACATGTAGCTCGTGCACACGCGTACGCCTGCACAACGTATTATATAAAGACGCCCAAGCACGCATGTCGCACGTATCCGAGTTTCGTTGGAATCGCCGCTCGCGACGGGTAAGCGAAGGAGATTGATAACGATCCATGAGATACAAGTGCGTCAGGATCGAAATCTTGCAAAGAGAGAGAGAGAGAGAGAGGCATAAGGCAATGCGACGGGAATATAAATTTCACCTGAATACGTGCATCTCTATATCTGCAGTGGGTATTTGTACACGCTAGTGCTCCGGTGCCGCTTCTCGACGCGATCAAAATAGAATATACACTCGAGTATGCTATATACTGTGGGCGAACTAACCAACAAGAGGCATCTAGATAGCGAGAGATTGAGAGAAAGAGAGAGAGAGAGCAGTGGTATGCATGCATGTGTGCGCGCAAGAACGCAAAGCCATCAGTTCAGTGGAAAAGCCTTGATGGGCGAAGCGCGGGCAGAGGCCGGGGGCAGCGGTTCTGGCTTAAGGGAGATCAAAAGGATCGGCTAAAGGAGGCTGATGCTACTGCTGCTCCTGCTGCAAGATTAATTCATACGCCAAAGAATATTCCTAGGCACATACGCGCGCCAAGCGTCTGCCTTTGCTCTCGCTCACTCGCTAGCTGGCTCGTTCCAACCGGTGCGAATTCAAAAACGATGGCCTTTAAATTCATCAAGTAATATATTCAGGATTATAGTTGCTCGCTTTATGCGTATAGGCAAGCGCTTGCGAGTGCCAATAGTTTGCCCTTTTACGCCCTGATGTCCCTGCGAGTCCGAAGATCATTAGTCACTCATTCGTCAGGGTCGAGTACACTAAAGAATTTCTGTGGCTCGAGACGCGCGTTTACACGACTGCTCATCCTTCCTTTCTTTCTTCGACAAAAAAGTAGAAGGAAACTTTGTTAAATTACTGTATTCTCCCGAAGCTTACAAAGTATTCATTCAAAATGGATCATTAGATTTATTGGCCCAGCTGCAAAAGATGCACTGAAACGTCGAACACTGATGAACGCGCGTTTGTGTAAAATTGTTCAAACATCGCCGAAACATTAGGACTGAAAAACGCCTGTGAAACTCCGACTTGTATATAAATTACAGAATGAATAAAAAAGGAGCTCGGAGCCAATGCCTCGACTGCGTCTGCTGCAGAGGTGAACGACGCTCATGCAGCCGGGAAAATAGCATTAGCTTTTGTCGGATACGCTTGAAAAGCTCGAGCGAGAGCCAGCAACGAAAAAGCGTCAAGGTGTAAGAGATCGTCGTTGCTGCTACTGCTATACATGCCACTGCCGCGTGCGAGCTCTGCAAGACGTAGATAGCTTGGACACTCTTGACCAAGCGATAGGAACGTAGCAACCTTTGCCAGAATCGCCTCGATCTGCAGCGGCGAGAAGTCCTATACGTGTGTATACCTTCTATGTATACCTGTGTCGAGCGAAATCGTTTCAATGTACTTTTTAAAGGACGGATTTTTTCTTTTTTTTTTTTCCTAGACTTTTCCTTTCCTATCACATTTAAGTTTCAGAAAAGTTTTTATTTCGCGTTGGCAACCGCTGCGCTCGCGTTATGTGCATGTACAGCTACATCTTGACGCTATATCGACTCGAGAATGGGGGGCTATCGCGCGCCCGCCCCCGCGTGCTCAAGCTTCGATCAATTCCGACAATATCGATTTTATTGTGGTTTTATGCCCTGGAAATCACGTTAATGCGTTATGATGTGCGTAAGCTATTATGATAACGCTTATTAATTCAATTAATTGATTTTCCATTTGGTACAATGAAATTTACCCGTTTGAGCTCGGAACTATAACGACATTCGCATTTTTCGCGCCATCAAACCCAATTCATTCACCGAAAGATAACCCAGCCTGATAATTTTCCGATGATGGATATGACCGAAGGGGTTCGCTCGCTTGTTTCGCCCTACGGTTTTATTATTTTATTATAAACTTCTGTTATTAGTCATTCGAGCAAAGAATTTTTTACTTTATGTAACTCCTTTAAGATTTCAGTTATTCCAATCAGATCTGGTATACTGACCAAGTTTTATTATTACCCCCACTCGAAACTTTATTGAAAGTGGAAAGATTTAGTTGTTATACGCGGAAATTTCCATAAGCTTGTAAGCGCAAGCTAGCTCCGATGCAAAGCACTCGAAGCTCATCTCTTTTTCATACCCTCAACTTCGGGTAAATAATATTCCACGATGTTCATACATCTGACTAAATCCTACACGCAGTCGATGTGCGTAATCAAATTTTGCAACGCGCTTCGAATTTACATCTCAGCAGCTTGAGCTTGCAAAGAGAGAGAGAAAGCCTTTTTGTTGTTGTCGTTGTTGTAACCTGACCATTGTCAAGTTGATGCTTATATATACGCAAATATGCACGCGCTAGCTAACGCATTACACGAGCAAAAAATATGTTAAAACATGCGTCGCACAAGCGAGCGAATGATATTGGCCGACACTCGCTCTCGTCTCGCTCTCGCGCATATAAAATTTCGTTTGAAAATGCCAGCTGCGAAAAAGCCGAAAAAATATATCGTCGCTCACGTCGAGGCACGTATCACGTAAGGGATTTCTCGTTTTTCCTCCGGCCCAAAGCTCTTCTCGCTGATTAAAAACACGTGCGAATATATTTATACGCTGCATCATCGCTTTTTTGCCTCGCTTCTCGGTCGGATGCTGGGCGTGAGCGCGCATACTACCCGAATCCCGCTGAACCGCTGACCGAAAAATGCCCACGCGCTCTCGTTCACGCGCGTGTTTTCGTCTTTAAAACTACTCGCCGTCGATAATAAAAACAATAGCAATATAACAACGTGTTAATGAATGCGTGCGTGCGTACGAGCTCGAACATAGCCTCGCATTGTATATACATTGAGTCGCAGGATTCGAGTACATGTATAGACTCGTGCACCACAAGCGGTTATTCGTCCCAGTTTCGTAATTACATTCCGGGATATCGCGCTCGCGTGCACACGTGCCGAAAGGACGAAGCACTGGACTGCTCAGTGCAGTCAGTACAGATAGCGATGCATTTGTCGAGGGCGCATCCCGTGCAGTGGCCAATCGATTCGCGCGGCTCTCTCGCACTGGGGAACGGCAAAAACGCGACTCACCGGCGGTCGAGTCTTTTCGGCACGCGCGGCGACGGCTGATAAAACAGATCCGCGAGCGCAAGCTCTCCCATCGACTGCTGAAAAATACATCGCGTCTCGTCGCGATCGCTAAATGCTGCCTTACCTCGACGGCATCGATGGGGGAGTGCGCTCGGCGAGCTTCCTAAGCTCCCCCGTCGCTCCACTCTCGTATGCGTTATGTTGTTATTTTGCTCGCGTTGGGTTCCCTCCCCCGCGACCTCTCCAAGCCCGCCGAGGCTTCGTGGTGTGCGCGCGTGCTGTACGTGCGTGGGAGCGCATGCGCTCGCGCAATTTTTAGCGACTGGCCGAGGCGCGCGCGGTTATCGAGCCAGATGAACATGATGAGAGCGAGAAAAGTAGAAGACGACGAGAGAGAAGCTTTGGATATAATACGCCAGCTGGTCGAGAGCAGAGTACAGGCGAGTTGAGAGGCGGCCGCAGCATTACACACGGCTCACGCGGCTGCGTCTGTTTTTGCTCTGACGTCACGCGTTAGTCGAGCGTCGTTCGACGAGCGGATCAGTCCAACGAGCGCTGGTTCGCCGATAGCACACAGCGCTCTGCTGCACGCCTGGCCGCGCACGCACGCTCCGTCGTCTCTCAGCTGATAACTTGAATTTTTGCTCTCGCCTTGCGTTCCCTATATACATATATACACGCACCAAAAGGCAAAACAAAGCAAAGAGTCTGCGTCTGGTCATTTTTCCAGGCCTTTTTCGCTCGCACAGTGTTATTGAGTAATTCAGGAGGTTAAGTTCGAGGTATCGAGTCAAGGCAAAGCAAACAAGGAAGAACGCCATTCCTTACAGGATAACGTGAAATGGAATGATAACGAGAGACCGCGGCCTGGCCGGTAAGCTATTGTTTTAATTATCTATTTGTCTCTCTATCTCTCTCTCTCTCCCTCTCTCACTCGACGTCGTATGTCTTTTTCTGCTGCGAGATAAATCAATACGTCAATTAAGCGAAAACCTTGGCAATCCGAGTATTGGTCAAACGTTTGATGTTACACAGGATGCATGTCACGTTGTGGATGAAGGAGAGAGAGAGAGAGACACACACACGCGCACACAAATACATACACAAAAACACTTGGAAGCAGACATTCGCAGCAGGTTGCGCATTATACGTGGGTCTCTTGCACGAGTGCGTGTGTCCGTGCATGCACGCTTATTGGTATATGTGCGTGCACTCGAGCGCAATTGCAACGAGTATAGAGATACACAGGAACGTGCGCGCCTGCGAGACGTGATAGCTGCTGCACATATACCGTCGATGTGCTTTTTTTCTATTAGGAATAAATGTACACACAGAAGCGCCTAGGCTAGAGCGAGACCAGCCGAGTTCAATGGACAATAAGCGCATATAGGGGCAGTTATAACGTTTGCAGCGCGATATGTGTTTCGGAGCGACGCGTCAATAAGTAATTATCTTCTCTCGCTGCACGTCTACTGTTTGACACGAACAAGACAGAATGAAACATTTTTAACGCACTCGTGTACTTTTTTATTTCGACGCTTTTTTCCAAATGTCATTCGTCGACGCGAACACGTGCTCGCATTATTCTCGCGCGGAGCTACTATTGTTGAATAGCCACACGAGCGAACGTAACAGCAGATCTGAGCTTTGTGAACAGTCGATTATGTATGCATATTGATAAATGAATATTTTGCATGAGTGTCGCATGCACTGTGTGGCTATTTGAACACGCATACAGTAGCTCAGCGTGTGTGTGAATATCAACAAAACAAAAAAGCTTCGAGACTGAGTCGTTAAATTGTTGCTGTGTATTTCTGCAGCGTAACTTTTTTTATGAGTTTCCAGACAATGATTTTTTTTCCTTTCATTTTCGTGATTACTACGAGCTTGTCACCGTTCATTATTTTTGTTTGCTTATTTGTTTTCTTTTTTCATATAAACATAACACTCAGTTACTGAAGGGTAAATCATTTGAACGATTTATAAAATACTCAAATTAAATACATTTATGCTCGAATAACGTTTAATCTTTAATTTGCGACAAGCAAAAGACTAAAAAACAGTCGTCATTCTGATTGAAGAATATGATCGAGCTTTTAATTGAAACAAGTGTGTAATTTTATTCAATTGAAAAGCTTGATGATTTCAAACACTCGAGACATGAATAACTTTCGAGATAATAAGACGATCGTCACTCTAAGCACCTTCCTCATTTTCATGAACTTCTTCGTTTTTGAAAACTTCTCGTCTAGCCATTGATGGTTCTAAATGTGTTTCTTATCATTGAATTCAGTGGAGTTTATTTTTAGGTTTCTATCGTCACATCGTATTTCCCCCTAGTATGAAAGATGTACTCGGTTTCTTTCGAGAGAGTAGTTAAAAAAAGGTGAGTATTCGTATAAAAATCAGGTCATGAAAAAAGTTTCGATTCACAAATTTTCTTTCTCATCGTATTATTAAATTTTAACAATGAAAAAGTGTATCATCTTGTTTAAATATTTCTATGATAAGATTATTATTGACGGTCTATTCTAATAAAATGATAACAATTGAAAAGTAGCTGTTTTCGTTTCTCAGCTGATAAAAAACCGATAAAAGCTATTGTTTAAATTATATATTTTATGAAAATACAGAATGACATATTAAATTTCCGGTGAATTTCACTAAAAGCTAAATTAGCATTCACATAGCACTAAATTTAATTATTAAACGTTTATGGAAGATACTCTATCATTATGATATGATGTATAGTAGTAAACGATATTTTATATTATAAAGTAAATAATGCTATTGCATCCTTTCATAATTTTATCAACATGTTTGGGTTCACTGATTTAATTATCTTTCAGGATGTGAGTACACAAAGACGAAAAATTTTAATGAGATAAAAATGATAAGGTATATTTTTCAGGAAATAAAAAAAGCATGATAGTTAATCAGCCTATTTTTCACTATCAGTTTTCATAATGCACATATTTTTCAATCGACGTAAAAATTTATATTTCTATAAAAGTATTTCTGTCTGTTGACTAAAGCTAACTCTGTTGTCATATTATTACTTCATAAACAAATTTAAATACAAATATAAAAATATATTAAAAACAAATACGCTATCAAATAACTAGACAAAACTAAGCATTATATTTATTAGAAATAAAATTAAAGTGTAACCAGAAGCAAAAATTTGTAAGGACAGGATCGTTTCGTCTGTATTATTGTTGAAATTCTACTGCAATGAGTTTTACTTTTGAGTCTCACATACATTCGGGACTGTTCGAGTTGTTAATTGACTCTGCCGTAATAATCAGTTACCCGACCGCTGCATTTGTCCAGTTAATTTACAGAAAATTAGAATCGTTATATATAAATTGCATTTGAGAAATTCTACTTTAAAAAATACCACACTCAGATGATAACACGAAAAAAATAAACTTAACTCGAATTCGCTCTTAAACCACGTTTGGCTTTTCTCATTCTTTGCTTATTTTATTCTGTCGATTGCGCACGCTCGCTCTTGGACATATCGCACATATAGAGTGGCGTATATTGTACGGTGGTCGATCAGAATATCAAAACACGCGACAATGCTTTATCTTCTGTGCTCTGTGTGTGTGCTTCTGTCCGAGTGTGCGTGGGTGTATACAGTTTCAACGAACGTCCATATTAAGGCGGTACGTTGGCTCATCGTATACATGTTTACTTGTACACATATCGTCCGAGTGTGGACTTTACTCTTTGAAATAGGTTTGGCTGATGGCAAAATCTATATATACGTACACGGTGAATCATAGAAGGTTTCGTGGAAAGGGGTTGAGAGTGAAAATATTTATCGATACAGGTGCAGCTTGAAAAATTTTTTCACTTTATTCTATCAAGCTCTGCGTACTTCAACAAAAATAAATTGCATAAAAAACTTTTTTTGAACTTAGTTTTTCATATAATATGCATTATGTCTTTTCTGCCTCAAAAATAATTTGTTCAGAATTTCAAACTTTTCTTGGAGTAAATTGATTTAAATGCATGTACAAAGATCCTTTTTTTTATAATTAAATACTTTCTTTCCTTCTTGACTAATTTTTTCTTTAATATTATGATATCGAATCGATTTCAATCGGTTTATTTTGTCGAATAATATCGATTTAAATGGAATATCAATTAAAGAGCAGTTTTAAATCTGTCACTCATTCGTGACACAAAAAAACGACATATGCCCCGTTTTATGGTTTAGATAATCATGAGTCACGATTCAAGTGACGTTTCGTATTGATAAAAAAACAATTTAAACTAGAAAGTAATAAAAACCAATTTATATATCGTCCCTTTTTCGCCACGATAAAGACAATTTTTTTATTTTGCTTAGTCTAATGATTTATGACTGATGATAAATCAATTATCAAATAAAAAAAATTATTTCAATCAATTTCTATATTTTTATCTCGTACAAAATCGATATCTTACTTTCAACGAATGAAACTTTTCTTCGCATCCTAAGTATAAAATAAACGGGCAGAATTTTTACAGGTTTCTGATGAGCTTTGAAATTATTTTCATCTAACTATTAAAACAATCTTTTAGTGCATTAAGTTCAAAAATTTAAACGATATATGTGCATTTTATCTCAATTAGTCACGTGGCTATTTTACGTGGGATACTATGTATAAATCATAGAAGTATCTCGCAGATAATGATTTTTTGCAATAGTTGTAGTAGTATTTACATCAGCCAAGGCGTAAAATCCATTAATGAAAACTTCTTGTTTATTTAAACTGTTCAATCGGGCTTTAGTAATTGCTGAAGAAGAAACTAACAATACGTTCTGCCATATTATGCTGTGGAAACTACAAAAAGAATTCAATATAAAATACATAGTTTATAATGAATCGCAAAGTGGTTGTAAGTTATTACAAAGCAAGTAGATTTGCTCTTATAATATTATACCCACGCTTGAAACTAAAAATAATGACATGTATAACAAAATGGTATAAAGTTGAGTTGCGAATTTCAATCGGTCCAGCAGAGCGTAATGTATTGTATTTATTTTTAAAGCAACCACAGAATTAACAATGCTCACGCGTAAACGTTGCACTTTATATTTGAATTTATGAAAGCTTGCATTGCCAGACCAGCCTCGATATGATATCTTGGCTTGAAGTTGATAATTTTTTTCGCGTTTTTTTCTGTATACGGTAAATTCTTGGCTATGAAAGCTGGATATTTCGGAAATGATTATGATGCAATATTTTATGCTGCATTTTTAGTCTTATAATAGTATTTTTCATACTTTGAATGCTGCTTGTTATTCGTATACTTAATGCAGACTCAAATAACGTGCTATACAAATTGATTTGGGAACATAACAACGTGATTTGGTCAATAGACTTGATCTAATTAATATTCATTGTTCTAATGACTTTGTTTTCAATGCATTTATATTTATTATCCTATGCTTAATCAGATAGAATATTCTTTATAAAATACACTTAATTAGTCTTTAGATTATGAAGCTGATAGAGAAAAGCTTTTCATAAGAATATTTTCCAACTTCAAACATTCGATTCGTTCGATACATTTTCTAGATACATTTTTGGCTGTCATTCTTATGATCCAAAAAATAGAAAAATAGCTAAAATTCACAATCACACTGTCGTAAGTTCTGAAATGATTCTGGAGCCTTTGAAGCTCAAACGGAGAAAAAAGCATTTCGAAACTTTTTTGATCAAGGTGTTTGAAGAGTAGAAAAAAGGAGATAATAAAAGATGAACTAGATCCATTCATTCCGTGTAAGAGCTGACTTAATGTGAAAGCATGCCTATACATTGCTAATACAGAAAATGGCTCATTTAAAAACAAAAAGGGTTGGGAAAATCTTCTATCTCAATCACACGCGACGTCGCCGAGTTAGCACATGAAAGAGCTACTTACTCAAATGAATTATATCGCTGAGTATGTGCGTGTACTTTGAATCGCGTCATGTTATTGCCACGCACTTACATGAGACCTTGACTTTGCTTCACCTTAATTTGTAAGCTCTGTCGTAGCAGACCTCTGCCATCTGTGTGATGCAAGTGCGAGTGCAATAAGCGTTAATTTACTTTTTTTCCTTTCCGATACATCGAATGACCAAGTAATGGCTTATTTTCCCATTATACTTGGCCAGACTGCAATGTCGAGGCTATAAAAATATTTTTTGCTCTTTATTCATTTAAAATTGCTGCTCTATCGAAGTTTCGTTGTTTCTCTTACCACTTTAGATTAATGATTAATGATTTTTGTTTGATTAGCTCTATTTTTTACATAAACCATTGAATTGTATATTTAATTTCATACGCTTTTTTTTGATAAATAAACATAATAAAGTTTAAAATTTAGTAATGTAATAAATGTTATTTAGTAATTTAATAATTTAATAAAATATCTTTTACTTAAAATTGAAAAAAATCGATTTGAAATAATTGAAACCATTATCGTTTACAAATGCTTACTTAAGAAATAATATATTTTTCAATCCCGAATAATAATAATATATAATAGCTTTTTTAAACTAAGTTTATGGTTAAAATAAATTAGAACGTGTGAAAAGATCAATAATCGAGTAAACTGATTACATCCATTTTGATCAAATCTGGGTCAGTAAAACTTGATTCACGAATGATTCATTAGAAATATATAATGTTTTTAAAGAATATAATGAGAATATTTGTATACTAATATTTTTTATATTTAAAAACATTGAAAAGTGATACATAATTTAGTAAAGCAGTAAACCATAGAACATCTCAGTAATTCGCTATTAATTTGTCTCGAATAAGAATGTTTATCGTCTCAGCAAGTACAAAAGTTTCCCTTCTTTACAAAAAGTTCAAAAGCTTTTACCGTATTCGATGGTGAGACAAACAAAGGAAAACTTTTCCCGCATCTATGGAATTGGTTTATGAAAATATAATTCGATAAAAGGATATTTATTGTCGTGTAGTAAATAGGTGGATAAATATCATAAGCATAATTACGGAAAACTGAATGAAATTTTACTTGATTTGTGACTCACCTTGTTCTTTATATACGTTTTCTCAATACAGTGAGACCTCTAAAAAATAAAAATATCAATAACATAGAGAAGTTTAAGTCTTGAATCTTACTATAATTTTCACTTAGACGTGATTTCAGCACGATTCAAATTCAAATAACAACTTCGTCCTTTCGTGGTAGTAACGCTATAGATTCATGCACGTCGTATATCCTCGACGATGTGTTTGACATACGTAAACAAAAACAATGCCGCGATCGCATCACCGTCATCAACGTATAAATGCTCGATAAAAAAAATATCCTCAATGACGCAAGCCTAGAAAATGTAATATAATCTGTCAATTAGTGTCACGCCCATTTAGAAAGAAAAAGAAAAAGAGAGAGAGAGAGAGAGAGAGAGAGAGAAATAGAAAGCGAAAATGCATCATGTGTGTGCACTTCTATGCAGGTATTAACCGCATAAGTAAATGCAAAGTGAAGATATACACGCAAAGATGCCTTATGCTGGGTGTATTGCATATATTCATGATGTGCAGAACTTTTTCTATCATATTAGCGATAGACGGCCGTAATCCCCCGCAGTTGGTATTTCACGCTCTATAAACGGAATGACAGCGCCTAAAGGGGCTGTGGCGCGATGCGCGCTTTCTCATCTTTCTAAGGTACCCAGCAGTTATATTATATACGTATATGTGCGCACCTATATACGAGGTTGACGTCCGATTAGACGAGCGAAAGAAGCCTATCAAAGTCTACTCCGAGCAGCATCGAGCCCTATTGATGTCCAGGGGAATGCGTTTGTTATCTAGGCCGATCGACTCCGAGTCATCCCTCGCATATACACGGATAAGCCACCCTCTTATATAACCGTATACATTTTTCATCGGGACAACTAGGTAAGGATCTATCTTCGGGCTCTTTCTCCATTTTATATACATTTTTCGCTCGACATTCTGTATAGGTACGGTTATATATTCTACACACGAATCGTATTGTTTGAGCTGCAAGAGATGTTAGACGATATTGGATACATACTTCAAAATACAGCAGTTATTTTCAAACTTAAAATAGACTTGTGTTATTTTCAAGAAACTACAAAATCCCATCTCTTTTTGTGAAACGAAAATAAGCAATTTAAATTTAATGATGTAAAGGTACAGTCGACATTGCAAAATCTTTTTCTATAGGGAATGTAATGTTGCTATTTTAGTAATATAAACACGGGGCACTCCTAATTTTTTCTTCAAAATTTGACGCTATGATTCGGTTCATAGTACAAAATAGATTAATTATTTGTAAACCTTCATTTTGCACAAAGCATTTCAAGCAAACCTTCAAATTTTTACTTAGCATAGAGTATTAAATATTTTTTGATCAATGTAAGAACTGTGTATTGGGTTAACTTGAATGTTACCACGTCTTGAAAGCGTCATAGCACTTGCCTTCATCTTGTGCTTTGATGTTCATATAAATATACACAGTAGCTTGATCTTTCAACCTGTCGTTTGGGGAACGACAATCTGAACGATGCAGTTTGAGGAAAGCAGATCACGGTCACGATCGCGGTTGTGGCTTCAAGATTGCGCCCGAGAATGAACTATGTCAGCACCTGTCGGTTTGCTTATTTGCTGTATTTTCATTAATATACCCTACTCGAATTTATTGCATCTACATGTGGGATGATTAGTAATTATTGCTTCGAATTTTTGCTTCACTTTTGGAAACACAACATACGATAACTAAATGACGTGTGCCTTGAGCTCGCTTCTCGTTCATTGGTGAAAATGGCATGTTATTTTTGTTTTGAAACTGTATTCTACTGACAGCTCTCTCTAAAAGTGATTAAAAATGGTGTGAAACTGAATTAATAATGAGTTATAAACATTTTTAGAAGTAGGTTATCGTTAACACTTTAAACTTCAGTTAGAACAAGAAGTTATTGGAGTTCAAAAAAAGATATTAAAATAATTTAAGCGTACAAAAATTTTGTCGAACTTTGATAACCTAGCCTCCAATTGAATGATTCAGCTTTTGATATATGTAACTGAAGGAATTGACATTTTCCCGTTACACGAGCACTGTCTATTAAACTATTTTCGCAATTATTTCTAACTATAAAAACATATGAAACTTAAAGCTTGCGGAGTAGCATCGTAATGCTATGTTTACTCTTAAATCTAAATAATCATTCACGTGCGAGCTTGTTTATAAAGTTTGCGAGGTTGATGGATTTTGTACGACGTTGTTTATACCAGAAGAATGTGAAATTTTGCTTATTGCTGTAGTTCGTGATTATGATCAATTCCAATATTTTATAGTCATAATAGTTATTTGAAATTATAATGTTCTCAATAATTTCATTTGATAGTTATGTATTATTTGATTGAAAAATTGTTGCTCTTTTACTAATTGTACAAATATCAGAAAATTTATTTCAAGAAAATATGATTTCCTGATATCTACTTTTCATTCTGCGTAAATTTTCTTGCTACGTAACTATAATTTCGTTAACACACTATACCATATCTTCCTAAATAGAAATGAAGATTTCGATCAGTTTATCGCTTTTCTATATTTATAAATTATAAATTAAAAAAATTATTAATGTATAATTTAAGACTTGATATTTTATTATCAAAACTGCATCTACTTATATCACTACTATCTCATTTTCAGCCAGTGTTTCTGTTGACCCTGGCAGACGACGCAAAAGATGACGAAGAGATTTGAGTTCAACTGGCAGATCGAAGTGCCTGAGGCGCTTAGAGTCGGATGCTTTTTCGATCGATGGACCGAGGAGAAAGACAACACAGAAATCGAGCTGAACTGTATGTTCAAGGTCGACGAATATGGTTTTTTCATCTATTGGCAGAGCGAGGGAAAGGTAATTAATTGTTGTACGACATAAATTCGAGCTTTATAATTCGTTATTGAGTAGATCTTTGGTCGCGATAGATGATACCAAGTTTGCTTTCGTATTTTGAAATGTAATATACTGCTTCTTAATTGTTCAGAGCTCGTGACTCATTTTGTTCTATAATCGCATTCAAAGCTTTTAAAAATGGTTCAATTGTTCCTTCCGGTTGATACTGATAAGGAGTTGAAATTAATTCAATATTTTATACGAAAAAATGATTTTATGAGCTAAATGCATGAATAAAATCAAATACCGGTATTTGATAAACAAATACAAAGCTCTCTATACAACTGAAACTCTAGTTTATTTTTCAAATTATAAGCTACTCTAAATACCTCTACTTGACTGATTTTTTGATTAAATGCGCAGTTTTTAAAAGTTTTCTAAAATATCGGGACACTTTTTTGTGCCTCATTTCTGAAATCATTTACTTCTCATTTAAAAAACTATTATTTTGTGTCTTGTGTTTAAAATTTTGAAAAGCTTAACTTGTTCCATGCAGGCTCGATTGATTCGTACTATTCCATAACTACTCATTTTTAATAGATACACTTGGGCAGTTTATAGAAGGACAAAAAAATATTTTCCTAAGTACACCGATAACTTTTTCGAGTGTGCCAGGGGTTTTTTCATCCCAATTTAATAGTTGTATTTATTTTAATTCATTTTTGCATTGTGTTTTGCACTGGAGTCTACTGAACCAATTAATTAATGAAATTATACGTTTGTAGAAAATCGATTTGATATTTATTGCGTAATCATGAACTTCGGAGTTCTTATTCCTCTTACGAATTCATCCTCAGTTCAGCTGACCTAGTAACCTATTTTGAATTTAACAGGCTATATGATCCAATTAAAAATAAAACTGTTTGAATAAATACAATTTTTTCCATGCAGCGTATTAAAATATAATAATGCAATAAAATAAAAGATCATTCAATAAGATACTTACATATTTTCGACAAAATAATTTCCAAAAACTTTTTTTTACAGGATGGCGATGTCATTGAATTATGCCAAGTGAGCGATATCCGTGCCGGCGGTGTGCCCAAAGTAATTATAATCTAAACAATATTGTTATTTATCAAAATATGAAAAAGTATCATAAATTGTGGTTTTCTGTTATGTTCCATTCTCTAGACTGGTGATTAATTCTTTCCTCTAAAATATTGAATTCTGTATACTTATATGTCATGTTCTAAGTCCTATTTCAGGGACAGAATTAATCGAAATAGACCATGTTTATGAGCTAATTTACCAAACCAAAAACTATATTTTTTAATTAAAATGAAATAATTGATAAAAGTTTAGTAAAAATGTTTAATTATACTTTCAGGATCCAAAACTGTACGATAGATTAACTGCAAAGCATGGAGAACAGCTTGAGGACAAAAGTTTAACAATTTGTTCTGGAGTTGACTACACAAATATCAATTATCAACATGTAGTTTGTCCCGATGCTGCCATTGCAAAAGTAGGTTTAAAGTAAAATAATTATAAGAGAAAAGTCCACTTATGCAATCATTTATTTTAAAAAATTGTTAATTTTAGATTTGGCTCGATGGTATACGAAAAATTACCCATAATGTGAAAGCCAATAATGTTTGTCCGCTGACGTGCCTAAAGAAACAGTAAGTTTATTATATAATATTAATCGATTATCTGAATTTTTGTGTCAAATTATATAGTTATTTAGAATTTAGTTTTCATTAGCCCATTAACGTCTAAAATGTTCTTTGATTAGTTCCAAGACCTTTTTGTTCCATAAGATTTTTTTATAAACTCAATGGTTTTCTATATGGCCGATTCTCTGTGAAGTCGAATGGCCAAAAAAATTTTTTTTCTGCAAATGTGAAAATCTTGTTTTATTTGATGTCAGATTTGTCTAAAAAATTTTTTAGAAAAATTGGGGCCTTCTATGACACTTTTTCAGAGGCCCAAAGTTGGCCATTTTAGGGTTTTTTTGAAATTCATGAAAAATCACAAATATTCAAATAATTCCTAGATTAAAGTAGAATGACTCAAAAGGAAAAGTGCCCATGAGCTTTTTCGTTGGGAATTGTCCAAATTTTCAGAAAAAAATCATTCAAAAGTGATTGGAGCCACCTAAAGACGTATAGAGTGGAAAAGACTTGAAAAAAACATAAAACAAGAAATCTAATCGAGTTCGAACCGGACTTTCATTTCCTAAACTATGTAAAAAGCTTCCTATAGATGTCAACTATAGCCTGATAAAGTTTTGTAATGGGTCTTCAATTTTAACGCAATGTAGACAACAATGTGTGTCGAACAACGTGCAAAAAAGGTCTGAAAATGGCCGTTTTTGATTTTAGGCATTTTGGGCCTATTTTTGAGAATCACAGAGAATAATATTAATTTATATATAAAAAAATTAGTTTGGTTTTTTGAAAAAATTTACTTCGTGGTCGCTATTTTGTTATAAAACGGGTTTCAAAAAATCTGTGAAAATTCCCTAAGCTACTTATACACCCATGATCACTTCTGATCATATTCAAATCTTGAATTTTTCTACGCAACACTTTGAAAAAACTCTCTAAGCCGATGTTTCTTTACAAATTTTTCCTTTTTTCGTTTAAACTACCATAACTTTTAAACTAGGCATCAAATATTAAATCTAATCCCGTATTCGGAAAAGCCAATAAATTTTACGTCAAAATATGTACAAGCAAAGTCTTTTCAAGTCCCAAAACATGGAAAAAATCACATTTTCGAGCGAAGCTAAATCTCGTAATTCTGGACGTTACCCAAATAATTAAAGCTGATTTATTTTGAATGATAATAAAATCAAAGAATCGAAATAAGGTTTCATGTGCATTCAACTAGTTCATTTATTCAATGAATGATAACTTTTAATTAAGAATTAATTACTATTTTAAAGTGTCAATTTCAATTCTAATTTTTTATGGGTCTTTTAATGGGTCTGGCTATTCAGGGAAAATTTCGTGCAAGAATTTTCCCCGGATAGCCATTTCGATTCTAATAACTAATTTTTTTTCAAGTTGGATGAGATTACGAATGTTAGTTGATCCAAACGGCAAAGTCCCTGTAAAAGTTGTGGCAAGGACATTTGCTTCTGGAAAAACAGAAAAATTAGTTTATCAGTGCCTTTCTGATTTAGGCCTACCAAGTGGCAAGGTAAGTTTTCCACAAATAAAAATTTCAAATAAATTCTGTCTACTTATTATTTCAAACATGATCGTTTTCAGAATGATGTTATAGAACCAGATGATTTTACTTTTGATGCATTTTATGCACTTTATCATAAAATCTGTCCAAGAAATGACATTGAAGAACTTTTTCAATCGATGTAAGATATTTTAATTATTTTGAATGATTTACGCTCTGAGAATGAATTGTAGTTAATTAATATGAACATTGTTTTTATTTTGCAGCACTCAAGGCAAAGCCGATACTATTAATATGGATCAACTGATCACGTTTCTGAACGAAAAACAACGCGATCCTACATTAAATGAAATTCTGTATCCATTATATGATGAAAAAAGAACTACAGAAATTATTAATGACTATGAAAAAAATGATGGTGTAAGATTGCAAAGTAAGTTTTTACTATGAAATTATCAATTTTCACTTTTTTATTTTAATTTTCAAAACTATTACTATACGTATTTTAATATTATAGAACGCATGACTAAAGATGGCTTCATAAGGTACTTGATGTCAGACGAGAATGCTCCAGTATTTTTAGACCGTTTAGATGTTTATATGGACATGGATCAACCTTTGGCACATTATTATATTAACTCCAGTCACAATACTTATTTGAGTGGACGACAATTTGGAGGTAAAAGCAGCGTAGAAATGTATAGACAAGTTTTATTAGCCGGATGCAGGTAAACATATTTGTCTATTCATTTTTATCTTTAGTTATACCTTACTCAGTTTGTTGCGTATTTATATTCAGATGCATAGAACTCGACTGTTGGGATGGAAAAGGAGAAGACGAAGAACCTATAATAACTCACGGCAAAGCCATGTGTACAGTTATTCTTTTTAAAGACGTTATATATGCAATTAGGGACACGGCATTTGTGACCACAGAATTCCCATTGATACTAAGTTTCGAAAATCATTGCAGCAAAGCACAGCAATATAAATTGGCAAAATATTGCGATGAAGTGTTGGGTGATTTATTACTAAGAGAACCATTGAAAGAATATCCAGTACGTTCTTTCAATATATTTACTATGATTTTTTAGGCTGATTTGTGAATAAAATAATTATTTTACAGCTCGAGCCTGGTGCACCTCTTCCTCCACCGAGTGCTTTAAAACGGAAAATTCTTATTAAAAATAAAAGATTGAAACTTGAGGTCGAGAAACAAGAGCTTGAGTTATTCAAACAAGGGCAATTTGTGATCGAAGATGATTTCAAAGAAGACGCTAGTGCACCGCCGACTGTAACACCAATCGTCGAACAACAATCGGTAAAGGTAACATTTGTATCATCCTAGCATGATGACCCCTTCACATTTTTGGTAGACTTTAGTCGTAGCCAGACTAATAAATTATAAGTAACGAATTATATTTTATGACAGGATGATGTAGTTAATGATCCTGTAGCAGCTGTAGCGACAGGACAACTCAAGCTATCGCAACAAGGCGAAAGCTTAGAGTTAACAACTAATCAACCTTACACTGGAAGTACAACGAATGTGCATCCTTGGCTTTCGTCCATGGTGAATTATGCCCAACCAATTAAATTTCAAGGTTTTGATGTTGCCGAACGTGAGTTCAATTGATGAGAATTAACTGAATGTTATTGAACTTTTTGAACAAATATATACTAATATATGCTTTTTTCGCAGAAAAAAATATTCATCACAATATGTCTTCATTTTCGGAAGCAACGGGATTAAATCATCTTAAAACTTCGGCAATCGAATTCGTCAATTATAACAAACGCCAAATGAGCCGCATATATCCTAAAGGTACTCGAGCTGATTCATCGAACTATATGCCACAGGTTTTTAATTGAAGTATTTTTTAATTATCCACTTTAACGTTGCATAATTCTCATTCCATCTGTACTTCCCACAGGTTTTCTGGAATGCTGGTTGTCAAATGGTTTCTCTGAACTTTCAAACGTCTGATTTACCAATGCAACTAAATCAAGGGAAATTTGAATATAATGGATCTTCAGGTTATTTGTTAAAGCCTGACTTCATGAGAAGGTCTGATCGTAGTTTTGATCCTTTTGCTGAAAGTCCAGTAGATGGTGTTATTGCAATTCAGTGCAGTGTTCAAGTAAGTTAATTAATTATTTAAATAGCTATAAGCTAATCTGGTAATGATTTAATTTTAATAAATAATATAATTGTACAAACTTTTTTTAAAGTGAAAACATGAAATATTATTTAAATAAAAATGGTTTCAGGTTATAGCTGGTCAGTTTTTATCGGATAAAAAAGTCGGCACATACGTAGAGGTCGAAATGTACGGACTTCCCACCGACACGATTCGTAAAGAATTTCGTACGAGAACAATACCAGCCAATGGTCTAAATCCAGTGTACAACGAGGAGCCCTTCTTGTTCCGTAAAGTTGTCTTACCAGATCTAGCTGCTCTGCGTTTTGCCGTTTACGACGAGTCCAACGGCAGACTACTAGGGCAGAGGATCGTTCCGCTGGATGGCTTGCAATCTGGTTATCGACACATATCACTGAGAACTGAGGCCAATTTTCCCATGTCGCTGCCTATGCTCTTTTGCAACATCGAAATAAAAATTTATGTGCCTGATGGTTTTGAAGGTGATGATCAATACCGGTGGAAGAGTATTCTTTCCCAATTGTATCTTCTTACTTTAAAACTTGATTGCAGAACTTATGGATGCTCTGTCAGCACCCAGAGCTTCCAGGAAAGCCGAGCCACCTCAGCAAACAAAGATGCGAGGCTTAGGTATCGAGGAGAGCGATCTTAAATCTAATTCAGAGTCGCTGCCATCAAGATTTCCAGAGGCTGCAAAGCCTAGAGGTTTGTAAAAATACTCATAGTACACTTTTTATTTCTTTTATGTGCTGATCACGGCTAAGTTGTTTCAAAAAAAATTAATATGACTCTATTTGTAGAAGAATTAAATTTTGAACCGATTACTGTGGAAACTCTCCAACATGAAAAAGGGTATGTAAAAATCATTCGAAAGCAACAAAAAGAGCTGGAATCTTTGAAAAAAAAACACCAAAAAGAAAGATTTTCTGTGCAAAAGCAACAATGTGCTTCGATTGAAAAACTCATCAAGGGTAAGAAGTAAGTTAACCAAATTGATTTTTTTTTACTTTAAAAAACTTTTTGAATTTGTGTTTAATCACTGACAAATAACATATATCAAGTGTTCGTCATTACAGTCAAACTGAACTATCGCGAGATCCGATAATTCGGCAAGCTGTGACCGAGCAAACAGTTCAGTGGTCTCAATTAGCTGAACGACAGCGGAAGGAGGAAAGAGACTTGATTCAATCGCATTTAGAGGAGCGTAAAACACAACTACGCAAACTGTGCACGCTCGCTCAGGTTGCCCAGCAGAAACAATTGGCCGCGAGACACGAGAAGGAAATCAAAGACTTGAACGCCCGCCAAGCAAAATTGTCTGTCGAAAGCATGCGTGAAGTTATGAACGATAAGACCCTCAAGTCAAGAGGCATCAAAGAGGGTCGGTTGAGAGAAAAGCAGCAGAACAATACAAAAAAATTCATGGAGGAAAGAAAAGTTGCTCAGATGGTGCAGAACCGAGAAAAGGACAAATTAAAACTTACTCATGATAAGCAAATGGAGGAAGTACAAAAAGAAATGAATGGGGTAAGATTATTCAAATTGATGATTCACAAGTGAAAAATCTTGAGTTTTTTTTTCCAAATTAAGTTATATTTTTTCATCAATTTTTAGATCATGGACATGTATAAAAATGAAGAAATGGAGTACCAATTAGGACCAAAGAAAGTAACCTACGCATAATATTATAATCGTGTTGTAATAAACCATCTGGATCAGTGTAAATCCTCACGTAGATTATTATGCTTTGTTCAATAAACTCTGTATAATATTGTAATGGGATCAAGATTGTCATCTCATGAGAGAAATATACAAAAAAGTAGTGGTGCACTCTTTCTTAAGATGCGCTATGTGAATTTGTGTGCTAGTACCAAAATTAGCTACATAATCCAACTTTTATTTTGTCGTATACTATTTTTATAAACGAATATTTTTTCGTCAATTCTGTATGTCGATGACTTGAAACAAATCAAACAAAAAAATTAACTTAAATATTTTACCTAAACTTGCAAGCCGAATGAGAGAAGCTAAGAATAGCTATAAAAAGTGATCTAGTCAAACTACATTGTAGTCTCAAGTAGAAAAAAAATGTAGATACTATTTAGAGAAACTGTGTTTCAAAGTGAACTGTCATATATGAACAAAAATAAAAACATAATTCCAAGTGCAAAGATTTAATTACTGTCGATTAAAGTGACATATTAAGATGACATAATTTTATCGAAAATTAGTTGAAGTTTAAATTCATATTTTATTGGGCTACTTTCAAAATTTAATTACAAAATAAATAAACGTTGTCTTAATGAATTACTTGAATTGCCTGTAATATTTCTCATCGTGTATCATAATAATTTCTCAAATTTAAAGGAAAAAGTTCTTTAACTTCATTGCATTACGAGAAACCTTGTCTTTTAGTCTAATATTTTATTCATGATGATAAATTAAATCATAGACGTGAAAAAATTCTGAAAAAACTTATTTATTAATAACTATCTTCCATATAATAGTGTGACACTGGATTGAATTACTTGCTAAATTTTAATGTAAAAAATGTTTCCATAATTTGGCTATATTATCAATATTTTATTGTAGGGTTGTGAGATAGTTATATTAAAATCGAAATGCTTTCAATGTTTGTGGAAAGTTTGTGTTTATTGTTATGAAGCATTTTATGCTGTAAACATTCTTTTTTTATTGTCATAAATTATCAAATATTTGTTATGTAGAACAATGAAAAAATTATTGGAAAATCATTGACCTATGTAAAATTTATTTAAATGTTATAGAGTAATCTGAGGAATGATATTTTATAAAATGATAGTTTATGATTTCCATTAGAATAAATCTGAAACTGTTGTTAATAAAGTTTGTTATAGTGATTATGAGATTCGTAATGTACTCTGAAAAAACTGTGTCTGAAAAATTTGTTTAATATTACTCATATACATTTTGAAAATCATTTCTAAAAATGGCGTTAAGTTTTTATGTCAAATGTCTGACACAAATAGCTTAGCTAACTTAAAAACTTCATTCTTGAGCAAATCATCGCGAATACAAGAATAGACTTATAAAAATTATTGTTAAATGACGATATTTTCAGTACAAATCTTTTTCCTGGATGTAATCAAATAAAAAAAATGAAAAACAATATCTTTGTTTTATTTTATTCAAAGAGTTCATTTTAATATCAATGGGAAAATGTAATAATTTTATCCAAATCGTACAATTATGTAAAATTGTAAACTACAGTATAATTGATTAGTACAAATTTCTTCTAGAAAAATTTATTGACACCTTATTTTCAGATCAATTTCAACATTAAAATTTATTTAGATTTTTTTAGTTTCATTTATAAAAATCCTAAAAATTGTAAGGAATATTTTTTCTTCATACTCAATTTTGGACCACATAGTAATGATATGGTGAATCGCTGTTATAATTGTTTTGTTCTATTTCGTTGTAATCTTCAGGAACTATAAAATTTTAAATGAAACAATAACATTTCTTATCGATAGTTTTATAAATATAGTTCTACTTTACCTGTTTCTAAAATGTAGTATAATTTCTGATCATCTTCGAGGAAAACATTTTGATCGCCTATTGAAAATTGATATGGTAAAGATAGTGATCAAGCTTAATTTTAATACTTATATAGATTACTTTATGTTTATTTTTAATTGATAAATAATTTTTCATGATTTATTTTCTAAACTTACTTGGTTGTAAAATAACGGACTGTTGGTATTGGTTGTATTGCCCATGGTTCTTAAAAACTGGGTTGATTGCTGCTTCATGATCTAAAATGCATAACATGATTGCACAATACTCGAATTAGAAGTATTATTATGAAAATAAGAAAGTAAATCTGAAGTACATAAAATTTACACGAAAATTCAAATGATTATTTGAAAAATTCTAATCAAACTGAAGTCTCTAGGAATTATATCGTGAGGGAACAATCACAATAATAGAATTTTCAAAATATGGAAATCTGTCTTGTTTGGCTAATCATACCTCCATGAAGTAAATATTGTGGTTTCTCAAGCAAGAGCACCTCCTCTTGTTTAGTATGATGAAGGTAATCACGTTGATGAACCAGTGTGGGAACTGGCACAGGCTCATAACTTTCTATCTGCACATTTTGGTAACTGGTAGCTCCGTGTCCATGATGAATCGCGTGAAAATTCGGAAAGGAATTAGACACACCTCTTGGTAGCCTCGCGGCTTGGCCAATCGTTAAGATCATCGTAAGATATAACTTCAACAATCGTAAAAATGAGCAATGAGAATGTGCTTTATTAAATCTTTTGTGTAACACTAGCTGTGAACTAGCATGTAAGTCAATCACGTGTGAGCGTAGAAAGAGAGTTAGTAAGTATGCTTGTGCAGCAATGCGTGAGAAGCTGATTTGAGAATCTTATTGACTCTGAATACATGTTATTAACAACTTTTACTCTTCCTTTATTTTACATAATTCGCCAAAGAATTACTTAATTATTATATACGCTATTTTGAAAAATAATTGTAGTGACATATTTTCAATGGAATCTAACTGAAAGTAAAGTAATTCCTGCAAGACTGTTTACCACATTAAAATTTAGCTGTAAGATTCTGTTTACTTGAATTTGGTGTACAATTAAAATTTAAACATAGTCTTTTCAAGTTTAGCAGCAAATTACACTCAAATGAAATATTGATTATAAAATCTCTTTTCACTTTAGAAGACAGCCTTAAAATTAATGAGGGTACGTAATTAATAATAAATTAATTGACCAGAAAAAAATATAAAGGTCTCTTCACCAATACGTATAAACATTTTATCCACTTATAAATGAAGTACAGATCACTATTTTCAGTAATTTAACCGAAAATACTCACTAGTCGTTTCATGACACTAAAGTAGACGAAATTCGCTCATGAAAATGTATTACTCGACTGAGTTTCAACTCGTATAATGAGCTGCATATATAGCTTCGAGGAGGTGTTGCATGTATACACTAATTTTCATATTTGTTTCACCATCTTATGAGAACCACAACAAAAAAATGAAAGCCAACATCAACAATCATGTATTACGCGCGTCTCAAATGTGTTGCCTGCATTAGTTTTCCTTATTAAAATAGAGTGCAGACTAAATAAGTAATATCAGAACTTGGGTGAGAAAATGTGCACTCTTGATTCTGCTAGTTTTTACTACTCATAATTACATATCAATAAATATGGAGTGATTAGTCGTCAAATGAATTTTATTCATATTATAGTACAATAAATAGTTTTATTTTGAAAAATTTAATTTTCTACTGAATCTAATATTATCCTACAATTGTATAATAAATTTACAATATTATTATGCACTTTAATTGCATCATTAACAATTAATGATTTTTTGAGATTATTTTTTGAAAATTTTTACCAAATCAGAGGTTTCCATTTTGATAGTTTTGGCCAAGCTAACTGGGGTATATCAGATTTCCACATTTGTTGATGTTGCCAGCTCAAAGGTTGCCAATTTTTACTTTTCCATGAGTTAGGTTGCCAACCATTGTTAGCTCTCCATCCAGACTGATGCCACCCAATAGGCTTCCATTTTGAAACACTCCAATGTATTGGTTTAGACCAAGAAATATCAGGCCAAGTATTTTTTTTCAAGCCTACATAGTGTTTCCAGGAATCATGCCATTCCTATAATTATTAAATAAAATTTTTAACTATATAATCGCGCAGGTACACAAAATATTATTCTGTCCTGGGAACCACCGTTCGTATGTTTCTTGGGTCCCTGATTACGAGTCTTTGGCTCATTATTTTTCGATTTTGAGGCCGTCTTTCAATTACGTGAGTAGTAGTGAGTAAATTTTATCTTAGATAATGTATGGAATATTTAGTTTTATGTCTCAGAAATGACAATAAATGTTGTAATCATACCAAAGATACTATAATTGAATGAACTAAGTAAGGGACTTTTTAGTATAAACATATACTGACAAACAGCTTTGAAGTCTTAGCGTGATGAGAACCAAAAATTGTTTTGAAAAATAATATTATTTTTTGAAAAATTTGTCGATAATCGTGTTTTTCCGTTTTAATAACCGCATTAAAAAAGGTTGGAAACATTGTAGATTCGGGTAAGAACGATAGAAATTCTATGATAAACGTTTTTCTACACGGCATTTTCCTATACTTATCCGAATATTATTTACAAAAGAATACTGCATAGGAAAAGAGAAAAAATTGAAGACTTTTTTTTAAACAAATTAAAAATAATTATTTTGATTAAATACATGATGAACAAGGCTTAATATAGAAAAATATAGTCTTTAGCATTCATTTTTCAAGGATTTTTTTTGGGTTTAATTGATCAATTAATTATTTGTAATCATAAAAAAGTTTAGAAAATTTCTGTTTCAGATCATAGAACAAAAACAGAAAAAGATTTCAAAATTCTGACAAATTCAGGGTTACAGGCATCCCTCTGTATTCGCGGTTTCCGTATTAGCGAATTTCGCTTATTTGCGATTATGTAAATGCGGCTATCCCTCCGTAATCGCGTATGTAGTTTCACCCGTTCGCGATTTTTTACTCACGGTTTCAATTTTAATTTCGTTTAAAATCGATGTATTTGTTTTGTTTGTTTATTTGTTTATTTTTATTGTTCATTATCAAACCATAGGTTATTTTAAGCATTTTACGCATCTCGCGAATTTTTAAGGAAATTTTGCTATTAATTTTGAAAAAATGGTTTCCCCAAATCGTAAAAATATATAAAAAAGAGATAAAAATGTTAGTTCTATCGCTGATAAAATACAAATTTTAAATCGTCTGAAAAGTGGACTTGAAGTAGCAGAAGGGTCACAACGTTTGGAAGTAAATGAATTTATTATTCGCTTGATTAAAAAGTTGAGGAGGAAAGTGAGTGAAGATGTTTTTACATTAAAAAATATAGCACGTATTTTTGGTTTCGTGCAATCGGCCATCGATGAAGCTCTCAACGAAAAACCGATCTTCATGCGAAGTTTACGATTTCGATATGACTGTGGACAAGCAATGGCTTCACACCGAGAATTGTATAAAGACTTCAGCAGACGTGGTAAACAATCGGGATTGACGGACTTCTTTTAGAAATCCTAATTTACTCTGTTTTTTTATACTACATTTAATTATACACTTTTTTACAATAAAATTCATGTAAAACTTCAACCAATCAAGTCTCACCTCAATTCAGGTCTAACAAATACCCATTTTCTCTATTTACATACATGACTGAAAGATGGCCTTAAAATCGCGAAAAACACTAGTTTTACCCTCAACTTGCAGTTTCTGAAAAACCTATTATATCCTGCTTTCGTCACAAGGAAAGATCACTTTTATGTGTGCTTGTATTATTAGTTTTATATAAAGCCATTTTAAAACATAAAAATTATTCATAAAAAGGTTTTATTGCTTACAAATTGATGTTGCACAGCTTCTGGTTTGATCCACGTTCTTCTTAATGTATATTTCGGTTCATGAATGGACTTTGAACTATGATCCAATGATTCCCAACTATAACGATGATCATATGGAAAAATTGGTGTTGTTATAATAGACCATGGAGGTTTCACTGACTTTCCTACAACTGTCTCGTGCCTCGATATATCACCAATTTTATTTTCTATTGTGTGATCAATTTTTATGGCATCGGTGCAAACGCACAAGAAGCAAAGTAATTTTACCACCTATAATAAAACATTATAGTTTTAAAAATTCAAAATCTTAAAAATCTAACAATAAAAAAGTATATATTTACAATTAAAATATTTTTAGCCATCTTTCTGATAATTTTTCAATTCAATAGTTTCATTACCAGTCTTAACAGCGCAAATAGAAACTGACATGAAAACAAATATATCGAAGGCTTTTATAAACTTTCGCAGCTCTAACGATCGAATTTTTCTTAATCGGAGATTAAGAAAAAACTCCAAAGGCGTACGCCTGAACATATTAGATTCCCGTAAGCGGTGCACAATACGGTAATCATTAGTATTGCACGGTGCGCCTCATAAATGCTGTCGCAATTTTCTGCTATTTCGTGAACGCACGCACTACTATATTTTAAAAATTTATTCGTCTTAAAAACCCTCGAGGGTATGAAAAAGGAGAATTTGTTAGTATATCATAAAAATAGAAAGGGCATGCGCTCGTTCAGTCGCTCTTTTCAACGGATTCTGGACGAAAACCATATATTACTCATTTGACCTAATTACAGCAATTAAAGATCACTCGATGCCACTCAAGGCAGAGTTTTAAAATCATAATTATAACAACATTATTTTGCATTAAACTAATATTACCCATAACTTTCAAATTTAGGTTTCTTTTAATAAATCATCGATTAATTTGACTTTTTTCGTGTGCCGCTGCAATTGATTTATGTGTTATAATTTGTTAATTTCATTTTCTAAAATTTTAGTATATTTTGTAACAAGTGCGCGAAGCAGTTGACTCATCCAGGAGTCTTTGCATCCTCGCTACGCTCGGGTGAAAACAACTTGTTACAAAATATACTATTTCATTACGATAATTTAGTGATAATGTGGTCGTCACCCATGATTCACTCTTCATTGACTAATAACGGCTAGAAGTTGAATTTTAATTTTTTAACTTTTATTCTGCGTTCTGGGGCAAAATATACTATTAAATGATGACTTTTTAGGTGAAATTCGATAAGGAATTCAATTTTTTTTCAAAAATCATATTGTAACCTCAAAAACTCTTAAAAGTATAAAAATATAAAAGTCCAAAATGAAATTGTTCATATCCTTAGAATTAGACAATATTATACCTTATTTGGAAGACCAAAATACAATTTTTATCGAATGGCTTTATCCGTCCACTAATACGAAGAAATTTAACAACATAAAAAGTTTATCAAAAAAAAAAAATTTGTGTGAAAAATCTCTATTAAAATACTTTTCCGTAGTCCAAAAATGAAAATTCAACTTTTAGTCTCTGCACATGAACGAGGAATGGCGTACCTAAAGTAGTGGAGAAGGGAACACTAAATATATAGTAGCTAGTAGGTTTTTTGATAAATGAGTGAATGAGTTGAATAGAAATGTAATGATCAAATAATTAAATTTTGATGAGCACACAATCAATATTTATAATTGCCCGGCTACGAGTAAAAGGTACGGAAGCTGTATCGATTTTAATATATTCATGTGAAAGCGTCAGCCTAAAATATCAAATTATTATTTTTTTTAATGTCTTCATGTTATTTGCAATTAAATAAATAAGAAAATGAAATAAGCTCTTTGTAGTGCACATGTGTCACGCATGGTAGAGCACGACGGTCACATGAAGTTGTAATTTTCTCGATCAGTTTGCTGCTTTTTTAATATAAAATTTGTTTTTTTCTCATGCTCTCATTTTTTTCATTTTTACAACTTAGAAAGGGTTTACATTAGATTGCGAATTTCCTCAGATTTTTATGCGCTTCGTTATAATCTTTAAGGCTTGAGCTTTTACATGGTATCATTATAATGGATCATTTACGTATCTTTCACACCTAACCGACCTATTGTGGTTATATTTAAAGCTAAGTATTTGGTTTACTATAGGTTATAGGAGCAGCAGGAGCAGCAGGGTTGTGCTGAACGTCCTGGTGAGCAACTTCGAGTAGTACGATTTGCGCCAAGAGTCGTTCATTGTCAGCACGAATGCGTTGAAGTTCGTTATCGGGGTCGTCTCGGGGAAAAACCATTATTGCAAAACGTCGGTGGTCACAAATTTAGGAGTGCAACACGCTCAGCACTAAAGAGTAATATTCGACCCAAAAAAGAGTAAAAAGATCAGTTTACTCTTTTCAAAAGTAAAAATTAGTAAGATTCTCCGTTTAAGTTGCGGGCCGATGATCGAAAAGAATAAACTTGCGATTTCAATTTTTACAAAAGGTAAAGTCACTTGTTTCTCCTTTTCAAAAGTAGGATCGCACGAAATTCTCCTCTTGGGTTGCAGGTTATACACAACCTAAAAGGAGAATCTCGTCAGATCCTTCCTTTTAAAAGGAGAAACAGGTGAATTTACTTTTTGTAAAGATTAAAATCGCAA